GGTAAATTCTATGCATGGTAGTCGGGCACCTGTACCATCTTGAAATAATTTTATAATTTCATTCTTGAGATACTAGATCTAAATGTTAAAGCAAAGGATCGATTCCAATCCTCTGTTGAGATCTCATGTCCTAGTTCTCGTTCCCACATTCTAGTGTAATATGGACGGTTAGAATATACCTGTTTCAATAATATATTATATAATGTAGATATATTATAGGTCCCTCCTCCCCTAATTACACACAAATCTTCAAATGCTGTCAGTTCCCGCATCACATTTCCCCTTATAGAGAGTGACCTTAAAAAAAAACGTCCCCCCGATACATCCTCTGTACTTATGATAGAGGCCTCAAGCCATCTTTCGTTAATGCTTGAATAATTGGAGATGGTTTTGCGTTGGTCCACTTCAGAAACCTTAATAATCTCCTGCCAGGGGAGAAATCAGGATTACCTAAAATAGTTGTAAGGGGGCCCACATAAGATGACACTTTAAAGGACCTAATTGCCTTATCCCAAATTACCAGCAGATCTCTTACTTACGGCAATATAATTTTCTTAACCGGACGTCTCTCCGAGTTAACCCATGGGATCGAAAATAAAGGTATTGGAGTAGCATCCTGTTCGATTGCTACCCATAATTTGGTATTATTTTGATAAATCCAATCTAACATGCGTCTCAGAACTGCAGCCATATGGTATAATTCCATGTGTGGGAGCCCCACCGCTCCCTCACGCCTATGCATACCCAAAATGTCATACCGCAGGCGGGGAGAGGATAGTCCCCACACATATTTAACAAAGATAGATCTCAATAATTGAAAAAAAGTTATTGGCAATTTAATTGGAAATGTTTGAAATAAATAAATAAAACGTGGTCGAATATCCATTTTTAATAATGCTATTCTACCCATCCATGAGTGATTTTTCAAGGCCCATGATGTCAATTTATACTGTGTGTCATTTAAAAGGGGCAAATAATTAAGTCCATACAGATCCATAGCCCTCGCTGGTATCTGGATCCCCAAATATTTAAGGGATCGAGCAGCCCATTTAAAAGGGAAATTAGCTTGAAGAACAGTCTGTTCTTTATTCGGTAATGAAACATCTAAACACTCTGATTTTGTAGCATTAATCTTAAAATTGCTCAGATGCCCAAATTGTTGCAGCTCCTTCAATAGTGCGGGAAAGGCTATCCTCGGATTGGAGATATAGGGGTCTATTCACGAAGCAGCCGAAGGATCTAGCCGTAGCTTCGGCCAATTCTTTGGCTAGCTTCGGCCCCAGGACCCCTTCGGTTCAGTAGAACCGAAGGGCTGCTGTAAGGGCTATTCACCATAGCCCTTACAGCTCCCGAACTTGGCAGAGCGGCTCAGTCGAGCCAAATTCCTTGCTTGACCTTGATTCGGCATGTATAAGTTAGCTAATGTACATACTTTATTATTCAGTCTACACTTCAAAAAAATATACCTGCCTTCTTCTTCGTCTATTATCTCTTTTCAAAAGGTACAGAAGCATGAATCCCTACTGCTACTCCACTAGATTTATTATAGGGGCAGTTGCTTGTAAACCAATGGGAATAATATTTAGTGCCTAAGGAAGGGGCCTTAGATGTTGAAAATTAGTTTCCTGTAAAAAGAGCACTTGGGCATGTTGCTTATGCATATAATATAGCACCTGTGATCTTTTCTGTGGAAAATTCAATCCTCTCACGTTAAGCGATCCAAATTTCATAGCCATCGTATTTTATTCAACTCCTTCGTTCGCCCCCTCCTTCCCAACCAGATAACCAGGGAAAATAAAAAAAAATCGTAAAAACCCCACCCATCCACACTACATACTTCCCAACAAACCATACACACTTGACTCATACATAATCTAAACACAAAATTATTCAACATAGTAAGACAAGCAAGAGCGGACACTCCCCAGGTGTCCCAATTTTACAGGTATCCCCTGTGCCTCTCCAACTCTATCCTATTAGGGGGTTGAAACTAACCACTTCTCCTGCACCCACTTCCATCCTACTGAATTCATATTCTCTCCCATTATTTTTCTTTCTGAGAACCTGTAGGACCATTGCTATCTATAACACCTCTTTGACCTAATTAGGGTATGGGACAAATAACAAACCAAAAAATAAATAAGTAATAAATAAATATATATATATATATGTATATATACACACATACACATATATACATACACACATACATCAGAGTAATTCCCTCCTCCCTGCATCTGTGTTCCCATCCCTATCTTATTGAGTTTAAAACATTTACCCCAGTACCATATCTTTATACCATTCTCCCCTATCCTTAAAGCCATCTCTCCCTCCCCATAGTTCACCCCTACTCCCAATACACAAAAATTATCTTCCTTGTTTATCTCTGTCCATTCCAAAACTTTCTATTGCACAAATATTACAACCAAAATGTGAAATAATGAATTATTTACCAACACTGCAAATTTTTACCTATTCTGCCCATGTCTATGCTATCTGGCTTGACCAGACACCAGAAATCCCAGGCATTACCTATATTTTATAATAACCACCAATCTCTTGTAAGTAAAAAAAAACATATCCAGTACCCCCACACCCCCCCCATGTTCAATATGACATTCATACACTATATACCCTATGTGTTCTTCATAAGGGCCACCCTATACAGGGCACCCCCACAGCTATGTTACATATTTTACAACAAGCCATTCTACTAATAAAAAACAGAAAAAAACAACCCTTTTATAATCAAATGCCTAATAAATAATAAGGAACTAATTACCCGTATTCTATACGAGACATTTTACAGTACAACATTAATCCTATTTATTTATATGGCATAAGACACTGCATCCTTATTTTGTTCATAGAACCATCTTGGAAATATATAACCTATCTCTGGTTGGTCTTTTCCCAACCAACATCCCTTCCTATTTCTATCATAACAAACGTGCTATTTGTATTAACATCAAACAAAATGCGGGAATTAATTATTTAAATAGTTCTCCTACTTATTATTTTCGTCCCATGGTTCTCTCACGCCATAAAGATGCTGTGCCATTTTTTCTACATATGGAGTAACTTTTAAGAAGTGTTAACTATTTTATTAACCAGGGAGCATAGTGCATATATAGATTACCATTTTGTTCCCTCCATAACCCCTTTTCAGTACAACATTAATCGTATTTATTTATATGGCATAAGACACTGCATCCTTATTTTGTTCATAGAACCATCTCTAACAATATATAACCTATCTCTGTTTAGTCCTTTCCCAACCAACATCCCTTCCTATTTCTATCATAACAAATGTGCTATTTATATTAACAAACAAAATGCGGGAATGCTTTAAATATTTCTCCTACTTAATGTTTCCATTCCTTGATTCGCTCACGCCATAAATATGCTGTGCCATTTTTGTTTCTACATATGAAGTAACTTTTAAGAAATGTTGACTATTTCATTAGCCAGGGAACATGATGCATATGTTCATTACCATTTCCTTCCCTCCATAACTCCTCTCCTCTGCCCCCTCCTCTCCAGCCCCCCCCATTACTCCCACCTCCCAAATCCTCTATCTTATGTGCCCTTTACTACCCCCTTCCTACTCACCATTTGGATCCCCTTCTATCAACTGGGGTCCTAATTATATATGTATGTGTGATTTTATTCCCGTGTCTCAATCATTACCCCCTCCCTCCAATGTGCCTGTAATTCCATATCTAAAGTCCCTTAAAATAAGTTGTGTATTCCTATCTCCCAACCTCAAAACCTCTATTATGTTCTCTACCCTCCACCCTCTCTGTAGTGATTCCCCAGTACACAAACAAGTTGTGGAATTACTCCACAAAACACCCTACTTATTTGATTCCTTCCCTCCTCCTCCTTATTACGGAGAAGGAGAAAAAGAGGAGAGGGAAAGAGAGGAAAAGAGAAGAGAAGAAGAACCCCCCACCCCCCCCCAAAACAAACTCATAAATGCACATATTCCTCTTAATTAATTAATTCCAATATTCTCCATACCCTAAATATATCTCTATTTTGTTATATAAAGATAGTCTCTTACTGTCTATTTAGAGATTAGTTTCCATATATCTTAATTTCAATAATATTCAGTTCGCACAGGTTCTCGCATCTATTTTCAATTACTTCCAGATTGACCTGCACCTTCTCCATCTTTCCGATATCCACTGGGCCGTATCAACTTCCATTGATCCCATTCCGGAGCCTGGGGCAAATCCGGGGCCGGAGGATCTGGCCAGGCCTCTATTTGCAATGTTGGCAATCCCAAAACTTTAGAGAAGCCCAGTACATCCTCTATTGTACGCAAAATATGCACCCGTCCATCTTTCCTTGCCCGCAAATGAAATGGATAACCCCATTGATAAGCAATGCCCGCAGCTCTCAGTGCTTGAGTCAGTGGGCGTAAAGCTCTCCTTTTGGTCAGAGTTCTCCATGATAGATCTGCAAACTATAATTTATGGATCCCTTCTCTCTAGCATTAGTAAGGATCCTCTCTCTTTGTTTATAGAAATGCACTCTGCACAATACATCTCTTGCCTGTGCTTCCTCCGTCCGATATTTATTTGGAATATGGTGCACTCTATCCATCTCTATATATTCTATTTCTAAATCGGAGGACTTCTTCACTGTTCGTGAACCAACATTAAACAACTCCGCGTAGTAATCCCTAAAGGTCCTAACAATCTCCTTAGTAGTATGTACTCAACTTCCATGCACAAATCTTAGTAGGCACTGACATTAAATGGATAGAGATTATAACTGGTGAATGGTCCGATAAAGTTGCTTCTATTATGCTGGCTGAGCTAAGGCATTCTAAATAGTAATGGTCTAAAAATATATAATCCAGCCGAGAGTAGGAATTATGCAACGATGAATAGTAGGAGAAGCGCCTCTCCTTAGGGTTCACAATTCTCTATGTATCCACTAGCTGCATTCTATTCAACAGCTTCTTCAAAGCTGGTAAATGTTTACATGAGATGTTAGACCGCCCTGTCGAGGAATCCAACATGGGTTCCAATGTTACATTTAACTCTCCTGCTACTACCAATAAACCAGATGCAAAAGCCGCTAACCGAGTAAGTACAGTATAAAAATACACTGTAAATTACCTACCATCCTTTTTACAAGCAAATATATCCCATAAACATCTGAGACCATATCCACTAATTGAAAAGGAATATTATTATTATGGAAGCCAATAGAGACCAGTTTAGCGCTATTAACATCAGAGAGGCTATAATAGTACTCGGTAAACCCTCCCCCTCCTAATCTGGTGTAATAGTATATGGTAAATAGGTTTATTGCGAAAAGGCAATATGGCAGCAGCTATGTTTCAACTCCTGAAGTATTTGATGAAGTTTGCCTGGTGTGTTAAGCCATCTCACATTGTATGCCATTATTTTAACATTTGTCATTAAACACTGTGAAAACTCCTCTCTCCATTTTTGCAATTCTGGGTCAAGGTCAATAAATAACAATAAAACAACAATAAGAAAAAAAAACATTAAAAAAACCCCTGACACCCCCCCCCCCCCC